ATGTGTTACTATTTAAGTAAAGAAAATTGTATTTTTGAAATATTAAGAATCTTAAAGTTATATTAAAAAAAAAAATTCAGACTTTATGAAAAATCTTTTCAAAGCTAATATACATTTATAAGTAAAAAAAATATGAGAAATTTTTAACTTTAAGAAGATGATAGTGAAGTTCAAAATCATTAAAGACTATCCAGATATACTAATCCTTACATGAAAAAGAAAATAAAAGAAATCATTGAAAATGATCTTAAAAGAAAAAATGAAAAGAAAAATTAAAAGAAAAAAAATGAAAAATATATGTGAAGAGAAGCTTGAGGAGATGTCTAATTAAAAATTGACTTCACTTGAATTATCTTAATGAAATGAGCTTAATTACATTTCTAAACTTATATTAAAGTATTAGCATTTTTACTAATAAAGTGCTCATTAAATTCTTTTTCATATAATTCTTCTAAGAATCCTTAATATGATGAATTACAATTATTCTTGAAATGAATAGAAAATCAAACTCTTAGACTTGACTACTAGATATTCATACATCTTTAATTTTAACCTAAGTTATTAAAAATTTTTCTAAAGTTTTACTATTGTTTTTATAAAACCAAAACTATAGAAATCTTTAAGTGATGCTCACTACCTTAAGTCATAATTTTGACATAGTAAAAGAGTTATTTAAGAACAAGTAACAATTAAGTTTGAGGGATTTTGACATGCCTAAAAATATTTAACTTTTATATATACATTTAACACCCATATTTAGTGATATTGCACTTTAAACAAAGATATTTTCATATTTTTGTTGCAGGTATACTAAGTCTAGGCATTTAGATTTTAAAGGAAGCAAATAGGAAGGAATTTGGAGGCAAAAGACGATTCTTTGTATAAGTTGAACTGGCACCTAAGCGCTGGAATCCAGAGAAGGCGGCGCCTAAGCGCTTGATTTCAGCACCTAAGCGTCGGAATCCAGAGAAGAAGGCACCTAAGCGCCTGATTTCGGTGCCTAGGCGCCGGAAACAGTTATTCCTCTAAATGCATTGAATTTGGACGGATTTTTCAAAGGATATCAAAGTAAACACTTGGAAATTCGGCCCTACATTATGAAATAGAGATTTTATGACAGAAATGAGGGGGCGAAAATAAGTGTAAGGGTGAGAAAGACTTGGGAATATTTTCTCTAAGAGTTGTAAGAAGAGAGAGAAAGTGAGAGATTTTTTAATCATTACATTTTTCAGAGAGAACTGAGTGATATTGTAAAGAGAGAAAGTGATTCAAAGGACTTCAAAGGATTTACTTAGGGAGGAGATTGAGATAAGTTGTTTTACTTTATTTTCAGTTGTTGTGTAAACTTGTTTCTATATATATATAAATTCATGTTTTGTTGTATCTTCCTCATGAATTCTGAGTAATTTGTTTTGTCTTTCTCCCTACAATGAGATATAGTTATGTGAAGAATCTAAATTGTTTGGAAGTGTTTCAATTTCTTAATTGTGATGATTCAAACTTTCAACTTCATTTATTTATCAATTTAGCCAATTGATTTGTTAAAATTTGTTGTGAAAACATACGATCCGAGAGGGATATACTTTCTACAACTACGTAAGAATCATATTTGATTTCATGAATGAAAATGTAGTCCATAGGGTTGATTGCAAATAAATAAGGAAATATATATTGTTGGACATAGAATTAGAGATTTTAGGGTGACAAACTAAAATCCCCAATTTGGTTCAGGTGTTTGGTAACTAAAGCGAGATATTAGCCTTCAGATGAGGGGAACGTGGGAACTCTAAGGTGAGAGTTTGGTATCTTCCCAGCCTAACCGCGACTTTAGGGACTAAAATTTGGATTAACTAATGTTCTTTGTTGCTCGTAAAGAGGATAAAATGTACAATTGCTCCTATTTGACACATTAAAATTTAATGACAATTTGGATAATTCACTGACTATAACCTCATTGTAAAGGCAAATGATACTTTCTAAAATTTAAACCCTTAGTTATAAAACTTAACTTAGTTACATTAGATTTAATTTTGAAGTTTAGAAATTAGTGTAGTAAACATAGTTTCTTTAGCTGTTTAATACAAACTTCAACCTACTTTCTTACTTGTTTTGATATTGTCTTTGTGTTAGTATTATAAGAATTTCTACTTTTTCGTGAGATCAATACTTAGGACTCAATTAGATCCCTTTATTACTTGTGCGATACTTATACTTGCGTTTGCAAACTAGTGACTATTTAAATTGAAGATATACATTAATTCACTAGGAGTGACAGTTTTTAAATATTTAAAAGAGAAACTGATTATGCTGAAGTGAACTTTTGTTATGATTGTCCTGCATATTTCCTAGACTCGTTGTCACGTGTGTTAGGGTTTTAAAAACATTACTAGCATAAACACCGCATCACTCCACCTTTCTGGACAGTGCATTGACTGTCTTATTCTCTAATTTTGGTTGTTACTGGATCTCGAAATCATACCTCGATAGTTTGGATAGCCATCTTTGATGCTCCTAAGTCACCATCCGCTGCTTCAAAAGATACTTCAAACTCCTATAATCTGTCCAGAACAGAAAATGTCGTCCCAAGTCCCAATAGATAGGGTCAGAACTTGTAAATGACCAAGACAATCACCATCATTTCTCGTCCATATACTGACTTTAGCTTCGTTCTTACAGTAAGAACTTCGCTGAAGTAGGCAATCGGTCGTTAGTTCTGCATGAGCACAACTCCCAGTCCATACCTTGACGTATTCGTTTCCACCACAAATAATTTACTGAAATCTAGAAGTGTCAATACCGGAACATTGGTCATGGCCCTCTTCAAATGTTCAAATGTCTGCGTTGTTGCTCCCCCCATTTGAAATTGTCTTTCTTCAACTGCTCCGTCAGTGGTCATGCTCGTGGAGGTCTTTTTACCGAATGGCTCGAAAACACTCCAACAAGCAAACCTTAAACTACTTCCATGAATGCATCAGGTACCTGACCTCCATCCACTGAAATCACACTAAAGCCTTTCCCTCCAAGTATAATCCCGCTACCATGAGTTTCTCTTTCTCAGTTATCTCAGTTAACTCATTGATTGCCTTTCTCAGTTAACTCATTGATTGCAAAGTATCGCTTCACCCGATACACCCACCCATGTGCATCTTCCTCTTCGAAGATAGGCATCTTCAATTTTCTGACCCTCGCATCTACACCCCAACCTCCTCTTCCTCTGGTATTTCCCCCCATGTATCTAAGGTTGAACCCCTTCCTTTAGCCATAGGCATACCCAACTTTCGATTCCCTCTTTCCTCCATGCTCTTCCCTGCCCCTTATACCATCCCTCCAATTTTTGGCCCACCCCCTATCAGAAGTCTCCACTCCCTCTCCTCTCGAAGTCCTAGAGGGACACTCTTGTTGGTAGATGATGTCTGTCTCGTTTTCTCGTTCGATCTCCTTCCCTTTTGAGTTGGCCGAGGATTCTCTGATCAACCCTTGGTTAGGGTTTGCAACTAGAGCAATCAGCATAGCCTTGGACTGCATCTCAATGAGCTTTTTCATCTATCTCCCACATTTCTCCTATGCTCTCAAATTCATCCTCCACTAGACTTTCAATGAAAGAAAACCTATCATCTATGGTGACGAACATTTCTTCTATTCCCGTATGATTTTCCCTACCACTCCTAGCATATCCACTTTCTTTGTTGTCATCCCACCATGATCTAGACTCTGATACTAATTTGTTACTCTTCGGAACCAAAATAAGTGAGCGAACGACATTAAACAGAAATAAATAGATGGAAAACTTAGAGAAAAATCCAAAAAAACCCTCCTCTTAAAAAAAAAAAAAAAAAGGAAAACAAGTAAGATACAATCATGATCGACTTTGCAAGAGGTAAATTGCTTCTCCCCTCGCTAGGAACACCACCAAAGAAAAAGAAAATAAAAACCAACAAAAATATGCATAAAACAAATAAACCCTCAGTTATTCCCCTTAATAGAATCCTCCCACAGTATTTCCAACTTTCCTTTCCAACTTTCCCTCCAAACTCCTTTAAGTTCTCCTACATTAATATGTGATTAAGCCCCCCATGACCCCACCTGCGCCCGATTTCCTTCTGTTGTGGCAAATTCCCTCTCGGCTTCTCAGGTGGATCAGACCGGCCCACCTACTGTTTTGGCAGGCCGGTTGGTTAGCTCTCGACCGGTCCAAGAGCGACCGGTCCACGTACAGCATAACAGATTCTTACAAGGAGAGTTGTGTTCTCTCTAGTGTGGTCTAAGTAAATCATTATACACTATATCCTTCCTAAGCTTACCAAAATATTCACTCAACGCACTTAGCTTAGTTATTCTGACCTGTTAATGGATAATACTTTGATCCATTCAACATAGTATGATGATCATTTCAAGAAAAAAATTAAACATTTAAAGGGAAAAACAGTGAGTGAAACAGATCCATTTTAGATTACAGAAAGTCATAATGGAAGATAATCAAATTGACAATCAAAGTGTAAGAAAAGGGCGACAACACACCATTTCTAATAAATTTTATGCTCTGATTGTAACTTTCCAGGTTTCAACTAATTTTCATAACCAATTAACGCGTTTTTCATTACAAAGTAAGAAAATATGTAGTGCTAACGTTCTATTATATCAAAATGAACGGGAATTATAACGTTTTCTATACAGGCTCCATATTAAGATTTACCCTTTGGATGTTTTACCTAAAAGCTGTAACTTCTTCCCATTTGGGAACTCTTAACTCTGTCAACTGAAATGTTCAGGGAATAGCCAATGTGCCATTTCATATAAAAAAGAAACAAGGTCCAAAAAATACATAACAGAACTTCTCTTCTAGTGTATCACTATCTTACATAAATTTAATAAATACTAGAATTTCACATTACCAAATATTTCAGGTTGCGCCAATAAATATTAATTTGATTAGTAATTATTTCAACTTCTGTGCAAAATGTAAATGATTTTAACTCTATTATTTCTCCCCATCAATGCAGGTACTTCAACCTGTCAATATCCTTCATCAAGGTAAATTTCCTCTTTATAATCACATCTAAACAATACTTGTACAACAGAAATGTTTCCATTGCTTTCACATAAAGTGAGATGGACACGAAAAGAATCACTGATGCTCCCATTAACAGCATGAGTTCATCAGCCCTCAACACAACCATCCCAACAGGATCATCAATTTATGGATCAGTTCCTCCTGATTCCACAAGCAGAGAGCAGAATTTAAGAACCATACCTCTTCTCCTCACCTTGGCGTGCTTCATAATATCAATGGCTGGTTAATGAATGTAAATGAGTGCAATAAAACAACCAAAGCCATCAATACTCATTGTTTACTGATGCAACTATTAGTACTTGTCATGACATAGGTCAACGGTAGATTAAAGGAGATGCATGCCATCCTTAATGCATACCAGAGGATGTTCAAGCTCTATCACCAAGGCACATATACTGTAAGCTAGAAGTTAGAAGATTAAACTCTTTTTGTTTCTTTTTTTTTTGTGGACACTGTCCTCTAATTTAATGTACTAATAAATCCAGTTTAATCTCCATTTTTCTATGGGGCAATGGGAATGAGGGATTCTGTTGATATGTCAATAAAAATATACAAGCAAATACACACAAAATCATATCTAGACTTCGTTTAGAATTATAGAGCATTATCTGCCATAAAGAGTGAGGTGAATCGTGGTATGATGTAATATCAATAATGCACAAACTTGCTTAGCAACATCAATGTGGTTGTTGAGGCAGCCATACAGCCTGAAAAGCATAGCAGGGAAATGGAAAGTAGAAAACTTGACCAGGTTAATCATATGTATTCAAAAAACAGCAAACAGTTATGCCAGTTATGCCATTTAAATACTTCATAGAAAGCAGGAAGATTTGCTTCCATGTGAAGGAAGATTCGCTATATTATGCAGAATGATAAAACGAATTATAAAGAAAACGGAATCAGGACAGGACATTTTTATAAGCAACTGTTGGAACAAACCATCAGCTATCTGGCACAAGAAAGAGTGAGCTTCAAGATTATTTGATGATAATAGAACATTTTCATGTCAGCCTTCTGCATCATATATTGTACATGCCTTAACATTTATTTGAACATGGCAAAGAGGCAGAAGGTCAGTTGTCCCTTACGAATGTTTTTCCTGACTTTCTGTTTTAATACCTGCCAAAGTTTCCTCAAGTTACCTTGCTCAAAACAAAAGTAAGCAACTCACAAGTACAAGGCAGATGATGGCCAAGGTAGCAATAAAGGATACTCGATCAAATGCTTTCTGTAAGCTCCCCGACCTTGAGAAATGCTGAAAAGCCAGATATATAACCGTGGCCAAGGAAATAATCGTGCCTGCTTGACTTCCTCTGTTCATAGAAAAACAAAAAATCCACTTTTAAACAGCCATAAATTTGCATAATATTTATGAGATTTGTATAAACTCCAGTGGTGCTGATGCTAGAAAAGATTTTTATGGATGAATGTTTTGTTGTCGGATGACAAGAAACCTAATTATTCATTCTCAAAACACAACTACAACGAGCCATTACACTTATAACTCCAAGTTGTCGGATAAGTGCTTGAGTTTTAATAGACTTGAAGCTCAAAAAACAATGGACTCGATTCAAGTTATATGTATGGATGAATGTTTTGTTGAATATAAAAACACACACACATAACATAGTTTTGTTACTTATATTTGTGCACATATATTGTATTTGGGATATTTTTCATGCTGGTTACAAAATATGCTTTGCTCGATGAAATCTAATTCGGTTAGCTTGATTTTGACATTATTCAGAAACATCGAGCTCGATCTGAGGCAGGCTCGCTAACACCAACTCATTCCGAGCATTACTGATAATAAATCAATGGAATTGATAAGACACATAAGCTTACCTGTTATATTTGTTAGTTAAATTTGTGCACACATATTAGTATTTGGGATTTCTTTCAGGTTGGTTAAAAAATATGCTTTACTCGATGAAATCTAATTCAGATCGCTTGATTTTGACATGATTCAGAAACGTTAAACTCGATCTGAGACAGGCTAACTAACACTCAACTCATTGCCAGCATTACCATCAATAGATCAATGGAATTGATAAGAAACAGCAGCTTACCGAAGGTTTATTGCTTCATAAGGAGCAGAAATCACAAGCAACATTGTTAAGAAGGGCAATTCCAGCTCACCTGCAAACCAATATCTCCCAGTCATCTAATTTGACTGAAAAGTACCCAAAGTGAAATTAAACTGAGCTAAACCTTGCATAATTTACCATACGAGGAACAAGCAAAATGTATTTTAGTTGCTAAGATTTAATGCCAGTTGGTACAGCTGAAATCCAAAAAATGGATAAAATAGCAACATGCCTGGGATTAAATAAAATAGGCGAACCAAGAGTGCTAGAAAAGCTGTCCAAATGCCATACCTACCCCTGCACCAAATGAGTACACCAACACAAAGTAAATACATCAGTTCAGAAAGCTTCATATAAATAATTTCCTTAGATCCAATTAACAAGTTAACATTATATTTGTAATGAATTAAGTCAAATGTTCTTTTACATGAATCAGTATTTGTTTCAGTTTAATTAGAAGCTTACTTGATCCATAAAATTACAGCAGGTGGAGCTTGCAAAGCAAATAGAGGGACAAGAAAAGATTTCTGGATAGCTGTACCTTTTGAAAACATTAAAACCCTGAAAAATATGAACATTAGTTGGAAAAATATAGCATGTGCAAAAGCACAAAATTATGTCATACGTGAAATAAGCCAAATGCAAGAAAGGATAGAACTACGGGACCCTTTAATGCAAGAAAGGATAGAACTACGGGACCCTTTAATTAAAAAATGAAGAATGGTTATATTCAAAATTTACAGTTGGCTAAATTAATAGCTTTTGCACATCTCCACAAATAACAAAGATGTTTCATTCATCTCATTCGCTTTCCTTCACAGTTGTCAACTCCTTTTTTCTTTATGCTTGACCTGGACTCTCAAAAGCTCCTTCCTCTTTCCTCCATCCTCCATCCTCCATCCTCCTACGAAGGACAAGAGACACACCCCCTTCTAGTCCTCTTTAGACTAACAGCAACAAATTCTCGCCATCTTCCCCCTCTTTTCTCTGTGTTTCTCTACTTCTTCCTCCTCCCCCTTCCAATCATCCAAATTAATTATTTTAACCTAAAATTTTGATTGATTATCATAATTTTATGTTTAGGTTAGTTCAATTGTTTAATGTTAGTTAAGATTAATTTTAATTAAAATCTTATCTTTATATTATTGTGTGGACAATATATTATAAAATAATAAAAATATCATGATGTAGTCCACTATGTTGGTTCCAACTTTGTAATGAATAATTTGAGTTGTAATTGGGGTGATTCATGTTGACTTAATTACACAAAGCATTGTCATTGGGATCTCAAATAAATGTTAATTTTTCTATATCGTTAATTTGGATGTAAGTAACTATTATTTATTCAAAAACACATTTATTTTTACAATTTGTAGTAGAAGCTTTGACATTTTATAGAATTATAAACCCTATCGTTAAAATTATATTTATTTTACTTTACATAGATTCCTCTTTTGCTCATAACAAATCAGTAGATTTGAATGAATCGTTTAATCATGTTTTATTGCTACACAAATCCATAAATATTGAATTGGTTTCATAATTACAGTATTTATTTTTCATGTTTGTTACTTTAATTATATGTAGTAGATTTTATTCATGCCAAAATCATATTTTGAAAGGTCAACATGACAAGTCAGATTGTTTATAAAATATCTGTAGAAAATTTACAAAAATATAAAACAGCATACTTGTATACCAATAGTGTATAAGTTGATATCTTTTTAGATATTGGCTAATCGGATCAATGGAACCACATAATGATGATTTTGCAAATAAACTATTTGATTTCCTAGATTGGTGTTTACTATTATTGCAGTTTTAAAATAACAGAAAAATTGACAATTGATATATACAAACTAAATTACAATTGAATAATAAATATTTATTTAGTCATATTTGATTAGACATGATTAAAACTAATACGGTTGCATTGAGAGATATAAATAGAACGTCATGAATTACAACTTATTAAATAATTGATTATAAATACCATTATATTAGAAATCACTTTAGAGCATGTGACATTTACATTCAAGCAATACAATATCCTTAAAAACTAATAACACTTCCATAACATTCATAATGTAATGGTAAATATAGTAAATCATGATCTTTTATTGTTAATTCTTTATACTCTTATAGATTGATATTTATGTGATAACAAACAGTGATTACTTGTTAGGTTTGTTTCGCCAAATTCACTAATGGTAATATGTCTTATAGAATATTCTCAGGATGTGTTTTGGTGGACTATCACCACAAGAGCAGATTTCTCAGCATTAGACTTAATTTGAAATTTATGTTCATGCATTAATTTATTTATATTTACCATTAGTGATTTCTTATAAGTCTTTATAAGTTTCATATTTATTTTCTTTCAGTCTTTTCTCATAAGATGTTACTTGACTTCCTTAATGAATTGTAGTTATAAGTTTTATTGATTGAATGAAATATTATTTCCCTTCTATTTATGCTAGTATATGTTATTTATATATGAATCTTTCTATTACAAGTACAAACAAGCTTAAATAATTTCATCATGTCATGTTGCTAAGGTGTAGCTTCTTTCAGACCAAGGATGAGACAGTAAGAATGTTGAGCAGTGATAAAGATGATCGTGGCAGATGCAAATGAAAGCATTGTAAAAGGCAATATAATGGCCTATAAAAGTGGAAAACAAGACAACTTGAAACATCAATGGTAATCACTAATCCCGAATCTGAACCGGAGCAATGCCATTGTGGACAAAATTAGGTCGAATGATTGAGTAGGTGGACTAGAGGTGGAGCCATCAGCGAGCAAATAGATGTTTGAAGAGTAACAAGGCAACTATGCCTTGGGACTAGGGATGCATGCGGGAAGATAAAGCTGGAAAAACCTTCCATTATTAATGGTTATTTTGCAACATAGATCTCCATCCGAGGCGCATCAAGATTCTTGAAATCCATAATCAGGTTAATACGAAATTCATGATCACATCAAAATCCATAGCGCTACACCTTCGGAAACCACAAGTATAGATGTTTTAATTCATGAACTGCCAAAGCTAAATCACTTTCTTTTGTATAAAGTCCGCCTTCTCATAATATCTGCAATTGGACGCCACGATAATGAAATCTGTCGAGTTAAGAAAAATCCACAGTTTTCGTAACACAAGAGAAAATGAAGTAAACTCACGCAGAAGAAATGGAAGAGGCCCACTGCAGCGTGTCAGGGCTAAAAATAGAGTAAGCATAGCAGGTGTTACCGCGGTAATGTTTCTGCCTCCTGAAAAGACTTGTCTGCCATCCAAATCTGCAACGTAATAGCTACAAGAGTCCATCAAATTATGCATTTCGTCAACAAGAACAACCAAAGCCAATGAATTGCTGTAGATAGCAATGCATAGAAAAGGAGGGTTGGAAATTTAGCATCCGCACCGGTCAATAGACGTAAACACTCCAATTTATCGATTACCTGAGAGAAGAAGTATCGCAGCTGAAGTGTACGCTCCTGCGAAGAGAGCCCGCATGAGCTCCATAGGCGTTATGGGGAATAAGAGCAGAAGCGATTAAGTGAGATCGGAGAATCGCCATCGTTATTGTTTCCCTGTTCTTTAGAGTGGACAACAGTTGCTCATCAGATGCGACCGAAAGAGTTTATGTTCCATTTTGTATTTGGACGCGTGTTTTGCAAGTGTTCTAATATATATATTTATATATTTATATATTTATATCTATATTTAAACATATGGCCTTGGATATAATTTTAATCTTTTATGTTTTTTTTATACAAATCCAAAGCTAAAATCTTTATATTTATGGACATTACATTCAAATCTTTAATATTAATATAGAATTTATGATATTAAAATATTATAGATGTAAATATCTAATTTTAGAAATTATATATATATATATATATATATATATATAT